TTCAGGCAAGAATTCTCCATGGATGTTGAAACTAATGAGTGATGAGAAACAGGATATATACAGAGTATCAGAGTAACTCCCCAGAAGATATTTATTAACTACAAAATAATAATTTCGTGATGGAGAAACCTGGCAGACACCATCTTAACTAAATGATCAAGGTTAACATCACTAGTTACTGAACAAATGAATTCCATATGCCTCCTGATATGATGAGCCCAGAAGAATACAACACCATTTCTATAGTATTCCCAACCAAAACACAGCACCTGAATGTATAATCTTGAGGAAACATCAATTAAACCTAAATTGAGGGACATCCTTCAAAATACATGGCCTGTATGCTTCAAAAATCTCAAAGTTATAAAAGACAAAAAAAGACTGAGTAACTGCCCCAGAATAAAGGAGACTAAAAAGGCGTGAGAACTAAATGTAATATATGATCCTCAATTGAAATCTGGGCCGAGGGGAAATTATTTTTCCTTTGATTATAAAGGACAGCAGTGGGCAACTGGTAACATGTAAATAAGGCTTGTGGGTTAGATAATAGTACTGTATCAATGTTATTTTCCTGATTTTGATCATCATACTTCAGCTATGTAAGAGAATGTCCTTGATTTTATGAATTACTCACTGGATGATGGATTGGGGTGGGGGAAGGGGAGGGGTGGATGGATGGATGATGGATGACAGACAAACAGATGGGGGCAAACAGACAGTTGGAGCAGAAAATAATAAAACAAATGTGGTAAAGGGAATCTGGATGAAATGTAAAGGGTATACAAGAATTCTCTGTACTATGTTTGCAATTTTTCTGTATCTAAAATTGTTTCAAAATAAAAAGATTTAAAACACACTAAAACAAACTGCCTGTCTAGATATACATTAAATATCTCTTCCTGCTAAACTGCAGCCATAAGCAATGCTGCTTAATCGAACTTTGATGTTCTTTATCCCTTAAGGGAAATGTGTAACTGTCTCCCACTTACTGTTAGGATGATGGAAAGCACTCAGGCTCCCCCACTGTCCCAGAGGTTCTCAGCCTCCTGCACCTGCTCTCATGGGTGAGGCAGCCTGTTAGTTAAGGCCAGGACAGTGTCCATTTGCTTCTTTGGCCCTGAAACCACCTCTTTATCCCAAGTTGTACATGGAATTCCACTTCTCTGGTCACTGTCTGCTTTCAGCCCTCACTGGTCAGGACATTGGGAAGATCATCTCAGTGTCTATCTTTAGTCAAGTCAGGAGACTGTTTCCTTGGTAACCCAGTTAATTTTTCACTGACTCCTCTCTCTCGGATTTTTGGGAATGTTGGAGCTTACTATAAGTTAAAGCTACCTTGTAAACAACAGAAACATGACAGGTTGATGTACAAGGCATCATAAAACCCCAACAGAGAAAGATTCTGTGCTTGCCCCACGGCTTGGATCTCTGGAACCGTGGTCCCGCCAGCTCCGTTCCTCTGCTCAGACAGTGATGGTCCCTGGCTGTCTCACAATGCCCGTTTCTCTCCCCATCTCACACTGCCTTGGGGTTTCTGGGTGGTCATCCCTGGCAGACCCATCATGGGGCAATGGGGAGAAGCCACACTGGAGAAGCCAGGCACCCCAAAGGAACATCACCTCACCATTACAAAATGCTACTCTCAGCCCTAAAATGGCAGGCTGGTTTCCTCTTTTCATGCCATCTGTCCGAACTAAAGGTACAAAGCAGCTGTGTTTTGTCCCCTCAAGTTCCCACAGAAACCCCAGGGATGCAGCTTGGATTTGCCTATCTCCTCATTGCAGCTGCTGCTTCTCTAGGATTCTTGCCCTTTTCCAAAGGGAGATAGGCCTGTAGACTTCAGTCGTGCCATCAAGATGTGGCGGTCCCTTTTCTCCAGGCCCCAAGCGTCCTCCACACCAATGTTTTCCTCATGGCGAGCAGCTTCCTCATTTGTGCAAAACCTAAGGCATAAAGGACCGAGGGCTGTGTTATAACACAGTGAGATTCTAGCAGCTTTAAAGTTACTCTCTTATAGAGTCCTATTTTTACAACAGAAAATGTGCTTTTAGCTAATTTCCCCATTTTAAGGAAATGTGTACAGTCTTTTTATAGAGGTTAAGTGAAATAGTTAGATCAGTAATGTTGTGATGAGTCATTATCATAAGAATTGTTGGATAAAATCAACTTCCCGGGACTTCAAATTGTTAATTTTAATAGTTTTCTCCTGCAAACATTTTGACAAATGTAGTTTCAAGGACCAAACTTGTCTCAAGGTTATCCTTGGAATTTAAAAAGCAAATTTCTCAATATTATCAGAAAGGTGTTTGGCCTCCTTAACATAAAGACCTAGTCAGAAACTTGATCACAACAAGATAAGAAATAGGTGTGGTTTTAACTTCCTTCTCTCTCTAACAAGTCATAATGGCTAGGTCAGGGCTTGTCTTTTGTGAGCACCTTGTCCATCTTCTTCCATTCTTTAAAGGTTCTTCATTAACTACCAAAAGAGCCTGATGACTTCTGCTTCAAATAGGTCTTCTAGCCAAGGCTAAATTGAAGAAGATGGGCTTATGCTTTCCTGTTTTCACAGACCAGTGGTCCTGGGACTGGCTGCAGCCCCCAATTCCCAGCTACACCACTTCATCAAGCTCCCTACTTCCGCTTCCAGAGAGCCTGCTGTTGAACTTTCCCCACTGGACCTGCAGCATATCCAGTATTTCCATAGGAGGATTCCTTCCCAGCATTGCTTGGGAAATTCCTGTGTTTGTCCAAATTCCAAATTTTAAGAAAGATCCATTGAAAAATTAGGAAAGCAGAAAAGAGCTAGCTCTATGATTGTCCTGCAAGAATTAAAGCATTGCGAGTGACACAGAGATGTTACTGGTTTGAAGGAACCCTTTGAAGTTCAGTGGAACTCTGAGAGCAGGAAACACTGACACACAGGGTCCAAGGTTAAGGGTGATATTTTTGGAAACCAGGACAGGAGCATGCAGAAAAAAAAAAGCAGAAAAGATCTAATTAGTTGGTTGTGTGTGTTTGTGACCTGCCTGCCTCTCATGGTGAGTAATTGCTGCAAATAAAGGATACATATTAATAAGCTTTTGTACATAATGTACTTGATACTTATCTTATGAATGATGTTCCAAGAAATAACACGTTTTGTAAGCAAAACATGTCCTGAAATTGGCAATTTCAACATATGATTCTGACTAGTGCTATTAACCTAGTTAACCTCTTACCAGGAGATCTGAACGCTGCATTCTTTGAATATTACATAGTAATGTTTGAGGGTGTTTCCTAGTGTTTGAGTATTTGCTATAGACTGTTTCTTCTTTGGTAAATATTACTAAACTTAATACTTCTTATTTATTAAACAGCTTTTTAGATATCATAATCATGAGTAAAGAGAATAATTAATTTTAGAACTACTTGAAGAATAACTTGTGATTTGGGGAATTCCTGAAAATCCCTGAGAGTTCTGATTTTTGTTCCTGAATTCTAAAATAATACCTGGTGAAAAACTGCTGGGAATAGCACCTTAACATTGCCGAAATCTATGCACAGTCTCCCTCAATTTATTGCTTGCAGTTCTTCACTAAACAATCAAACAGGTCTCTCTTATAAAAATTTTGGCCTTTTTCTATATTTTTTTGCCAAGTGTTCTTTTTAAACTGCTTTATTGAGTATGACTGACATGTAAAAATCTGTACATATTTAATGTCCATAACTTGATGAGTTTGGGGATGTACACCCATAAAACCATCCCCACCATCAAGGCCATAAACATATCTATCTTCTTTCAAGATTTCCTCTTGGCCCCTTTATTATTGGTGTGTGTGTGTGTGTGTGTGTGTGTGTGTGTGTGTGTGTGTGTGTTAAGCATACTTACCACAAGATTTACTTGCTTAGAAAATTTTTAAGTAAACAATACTTCAGTATTTTTAGGCTCTACGCTGTGTAGTAGATCCCCAGAACTTACTCAAAACTGAAACCTTGTGACCTTTGACCCTTACCTGACCCCTGGCAATCAACATTCCACTCTCTGCCTCTATGAGTTTGACCATTTTTAGATTCCACACATAAAATAAATCATACAGTATTTGTCTTTCTGTGTCTGGCTTATTTCACTTAGCATAATGTCTTTCAGGTCCATCTATGTTGTTGCAAATTTGCCACATGTTTTTATTCATTTATTGATCTAAAGTGCTTTTTGCCTTCATTCTTAAAAAATGTCTTCTTCTCCTCCTCCTCCTCCTCCTTTGCCTTCTCTCTCCCCCCCGCCCCCCCTCCTTCTTCTCCTTCTTCTTTGACGTGTTTTTAAATGCTTCGACAAAATAGTTTCCCAGCAGTCTTTGCTTCTCACGTCTTTGTGCATGTGCTGTGGTTGGCATGAAGCTATGGCTGGGTGGACAGCAGCCTGGACAGTGTCTGTGGGCTGCTACTGGGCACAGTGGTTCCCACAATTGTAACAATCTTCAACACTTAGTTCCCGGTGACTTTTTAATCTTCACGAGCTTCTCTCCAGGGTAGGAGAGAGAGTTCCTCTGGAGATGAGTTCACTGAGGAGGAGTGGAACATGTACTTTCCCAGAGTCCTGTGATCCACGGGGGAAATGGGAAAATCTAGAAATATGGGTTACAGTACCAGTGACAACAAAAGAAATCCACAAGTAGCACAAAGCTCCAGCATCACAATCCATGCAACTCCTTTCTTCCATAAGTCTCACCGCAGCCCTATCAAGGACTCCCTACACTGCAGCTGGAATCTTTCCTTGCAGATTGGTAGAGGATGCGCGGGTGGGGGGTGGGGGGGGACTGTGGATGCCACACATTCTGTGGTACAGAAGCTCTCTGCAGAGGCTTTGCTTTCTAAGCCTTGGGTCCTGACACTTTGATGAAGGCTTCTGTTCCCTAGTCAGAGCTGGACACTGTGTCCTGGGCAGGGCTGCTGCTCTGGGGACTGGCTACCCGCCAGGGCTTGTTTTGCTCCCCTGGGCTGGAACACTGCACTCCTGAGTTGCCCAGCATGGCTTAGGGAACAGGGGCGATAGACTGAGGGGACAGAAAAGCATTGGCTCAGGGGCAACAGGGACGGCAACTGTAAAGTCAGTTTGGGCGATGGAGGATGCTGCAGGACTGGTGTGGCTGCGTGAGTACCAGGGGTGGCTGCAGTGGTACCAGGTGCTCTAGCACAGGTCCGCAGGGCAGCAAATCCTGCAGGTGATGGAGGGGGTGGCTGGGCAGGGCCTATTCCTGCTTCCGGGAACTGCTGCAGGATACCCCAGTGGTGCCAGATGGCCCTCAGGGAACTGTTAGGAACTGTTAATGGCGGTGTGAAGATGTTGATAGCTAAGCCTGGGATTGGCCAGGTGGGTGAAAGAGCCAGGAGAACAGGCCTCTGTGGCTGCGCTGCTCTCATCCTCCTCCCTGAAGGAGGGCTCTGGATTTCTCACTGTGTCTGAGAGTTTTCTTCTCTCTCTCCTCAGATGTTAGTGCCTTTGCATCTGGGATTAATTCAGCTCCAGAGGAGCAGGCACTGGTTGCTATTGACTAATGGGGGAACCTGCTCTTGTGCACCTTTCTGTTCAGTCAGGAGGGAGCCAGAGGGGGTATTTACTCATAAACACTTTGCCCAATGGACCTTTAATCATGGATGGGCTGTTTTCTATCAAGGGTTCTTTTTTGGTGTCCTACCCCGCCCTTAGGATCTTGAGAACAGCTTAGTAAACAGAGTAACGCACTACCTATGAGACTCACCTTTCTCCCTCAAAGCCCTTGTGAGCAGGGAAGGTGTCTTAAGACTGTAATAGGAAACACCCCTAAAAAGTGAAGGCATCTTTTCTGCTTTACCCCTCTAGTGTGAACTCCCTTGTAGCCAAATTCTCTTAGAAAGAGAAAGAGAGAGAGAGAGAGAGAGAGAGAGAGAGAGAGAGAGAGAGAAGAAG